ACCCGGAAGTTCAGGGCTTGAGAGTTGCACTAAGCTTATGAGCAATGTCCTCATGAGAGAGTAGATGTGTAGGCAGAGGCTGGGCACTCATCCTAGGGAGACAGCAGAGACAACTCATGTACCAGTTAAGAATTTGATGCTCTCTAAGGCTTTTCTGATTCAGAGGCTATGATTTCCCGCTGTGCCCCCAGCTTCCTGGTTTACTATTCCTTAAGCTAGGCTTGAAGTGGCTCAACTTTTTGTTTTGTTTACTTTTTAAAACTTGTGGTAATGGGGAAATAGGCATTTGGTGTAGTGGTTAAGATGCCACTTAGGGTGCCCACACCCCATACCAGAGTACCTGAGTTCAAGTCCCTGCTCCACTTCAGATTCTAGCTTCCTGCTGATGCATCCCCTGGGAGGCAGCTGGTGATGGCTCAGATACTTCCCCCTGGCCACCAATGTGAGATACCTGTACTGAGTTCCCGGCTTCCAGCTTCAGCCTAGCACAGTTGTAGGCATTTGGGGAATGAACTAGCAGATGAAAGATCTCTCTCTGTCTCTCTTTCTGCCTTTCAAATAAAAATTTTTTAAAATTGTGGTAAAACATATATAGTGTAAAATTTGCCATTTTAGCCATTTCTAAGAGTACAATTCAGTAACATTAAATTACATTCACAATATTGTGACACTGTCACCACTATTTCTGAAAATTTTAATCACCCCTTTAAAAATAACTTCCCATTTCTCCTTCCTCCTAGTATCTCTATTTCTGTCTCTGAATTTGTCTATTCTAGATAATTCATTTCAGTGGAATTACACGATATTTGTACTTTGTCTCTAACTGGTTCCACTTAGCATGTTTTCATCTATACTGTGACATGTGTCAGAGCTTCAGTACTATTTTGGCTAAATAATATTTAATCATACATACCATATTTTGTTTGTCCATTCATCTATTGATTCAATTTTATTTTTCAAAGATTTACTTCTGGGGCTGGCACTGTAGCATAGTGGGTAAAGCCACCATCTGCAGTGCCAGCATCCTGTACGGGCACCAGTTCAAGTCCCGGCTACTCTACTTCCAATCCAGCTTCCTGCCAATGTGCCTGCGAAAGCAGCAGAAGATGACCCAAGTCTTTCAGCCCTTGCACCCATGTGGGAGACCAGGAAGACGCTTCTGGCTCCTGGCTTTGGATGGGCCCAGCTCCAGCCATTGCGGCCATTTGGGGAGTGAATCACTGGATGGACGACGTCTCTCTCTGTCTCTCCCTCTGTGCCTCTCAAATAAATAAATCTTTTTAAAATTATCTTTATTTATTTATTTGAGAGGCATAGGCAGAGAGAGAAAGAAAGATGTCTTTCATACTCTAGTTCACTCTCCAAATAGCTGCAATGAGCGGAGCTGGGCCAATCTGAAGCAAGGAGCCAGGAGCTTCCTCCATGTCTCCCATGTGGGTGCAGGGACCAAGCACTTAGGCCATCTTCCACTGCTTTCCCAGGGCATAAACAGAGAGCTGGATTGGAAGAGTAGAAGCTGGGACAAGAACCAGGACATGAGCCTATATGGGATGCTGGCACCACAGGCAGAGGCTTCAACTACTAAGCCATAGCAACAGCCCCTGATTCAATTTTATTTTAACATTCCTGTAATAGAAGCAAGGTTTGAGCCTAAGAACATCTATCTACTGATTGGATAACTTGAAGATGACAAAAGACAAAATCCTTCTAAATGTCACGGAGTTTCTCAGACTTCACCTGGAACATAAAGAATATATTATTAATGGTATTGACCCCAGGTTCACTTGATTTTTTCCTTACTTGCTTGCACAGAACTTAAGTACCTTGTTAAGTAGTTCCCTCTGCCCACCTTTCCACCACATGTACTTTTGAGGAGTCCCCAGTGAGCAGTGGGGATCTTAAATTGCCTTATATATTTTGTCTTTAAGCAAATTTTATTTAATATCAATTCTTTTTTAACTTTTATTTAATAAATATAAATTTCCAAAGTACAACATTTGGATTATAACGGCTTTTCCCCCACATAACCTCCGCCTACCTGCAACCATCCCATCTCCCACTCCCTCTTCCATCCCATTCATATCAAGATTCATTTTCAATTATCTTTATATACAGAAGATCAATTTAGTATATACTAAGTAAAGATTTCAACAGTTTGCACCCACACAGAAACACAGTATAAGGAACTATTTGAGTACTAGTTATACCGTTAATTGACATAATACAACACATTAAGGACAGAGATCCCACATGGGGAGTAAGTGCACAGTGACTCCCGTTGTTGATTTAACAATTCACACTCTTATTTTTGTCGTCAGTAATCACCCGAGGCTCTTGTCATGAGCTGCCAAGGCTACGGAAGCCTCTTGAGTTCACCGACTCTAATCTTATTTAGACAAGGCCATAGTCAAAGTGGAAGTTCTCTCCTCCCTTCAGAGAAAGGTACCTGTTTCTTTGATGGCCTGTTCTTTCCGCTGGGATCTCACTCACAGAGATCTTTCATTTAGGTTTTTTTGTTTTGTTTTTGTTTTTTTTTTTATGACTGTCCTACTTTTCACTGATCTGAGCCAGATACAGCAGCCTCTCACCTCGCATCTGCTGGGTATCTATTGGCTAGCCATCACTGTTTTCTATGAAAAATCCATTGTCTCCATATCCTTAAGTCACCTCCATAGCTGCTGAGAGCTACTGTTGCCTGCTGTAATGACATTCTGGAGTTCTGAAGTTGAGTTACACTGTGTGAAGGGTGACTGGCAATGCTGGCTGCGGGCCCAGTGTATTTTACAGATATTTTAGTGAAACAGTGGTAGATGCCCCTCCACTCCCATGTCGGTGGTGGTGTTAAAGGTCAAGTTCCTGCAGGAATTCTTCCCTCAGGGTGGGGCCTCTCTGACAGGTGCTTCTGTCCCTGCAAATTAGCCTCAGGCCTCCCACCCTCCATTTCTTTAGATATGTCTGAATCGCAGATTAAGCTCAAATTGGAACTCCTGTTACATAAAGAATCTAAGTGTACGTGATGAAACTCCAAATTAATATCTACCAGGAATATGATTCCTTTGGGGAAGACACATTATTAATTAGTAACTGGTATTTTCCCACACATCTTGTTTCCTCTTCACAGGAGGCCACTTCTTTTTTGAAATATCTACTTTTTGTAGGTTTCAGTCTTCCAAAGATTCTCTTCAAGTTTCCCACAATCATAAACTAGATCTCAGGTTTATTTCCCCTAGAATTAAAAAAAAAAAATCTGGCCTATGACAACTGATTCGTCACCACCAGAGGGAGATACTCTTTTCTTAGTCCTTTCTTTCTTCAAGTTCTGTTCTGGATCCAGTGACATACAGTTGCCCAAAGAGGATGCTTTAGACCCAACTCTGAGCCTCTCCCTTATCCTTATTTGGTCTAACAGCTCCTACCATTCTGAGGCCTCTAAAGCTCAAATGTTCTCCCCACCCTATGACTTTGATCTAGTGATTGAGACAACAGCATTACCTGGGGCTCCAGCAAACTTTCACTTATTGCTTAGATGCAAAGACCTGATACCAAACAATGGGGTAGTACTCATGCATTCTTGACCTTGGCTTTCTGATGACATTGGATGGATTTGTTGCTTAAAAGTTGAGAGAGAAACCTCTCTCTCGTACATGATCTTATGGTGATATCAGGGTTTGAAACTCCTAGAATATTCATAAAACTTAACTTGTAAACCTCTCTCAATTTTTAAGCAACAAATCATATATACATATGATATATATAGATCAAATATATATAAGATATATATATTAGACTTCATATATATATAAGCAGAATGATCACTTTAAAAACAACTATAATTCTTTTATAAAAACAGATGAGGGGCTGACATTTAGCCTGACAGTTAATATGTCAGTTAAAATGCCTACATATCAGAGTGCCTGGGTTCTTTTTTTTTTTTTTTTTGACAGGCAGAGTGGACAGTGAGAGAGAGAGAGACAGAGAGAAAGGTCTTCCTTTTGCCGTTGGTTCACCCTCCAATGGCCGCTGCGGCCGGCACATCGCGTTGATCCGAAGGCAGGAGCCAGGTGCTTCTCCTGGTCTCCCATGGGGTGCAGGGCCCAAGCACTTGGGCCATCCTCCACTGCACTCCCGGGCCATAGCAGAGGGCTGGCCTGGAAGAGGGGCAACCGGGACAGAATCCGGCGCCCCGACCGGGACTAGAACCCCATGTGCCGGTGCTGCAAGGCTGAGGATTAGCTTATTGAGCCACGGCGCCTGCCTTTTTTTTTTTTTTTTTTTTTTTTTTTTTGTAGTTTTTTAAATTTTTATTTAATGAATACATTTTTAAAATTTTTTTAAAATTTTTATTTATTGTACTTGAAAGTCACAGTTACAGAGAGAAGAGAGAAGAGAGAGAGAGAGAGAGAGAGAGAGAGAGAAGTCTTCATCCAATGGTTCAATGTCCAAGTCTCCCACGTGGGTGGCAGGGGCCCAAGCACTTGGGCCATCTTCTGCTGCTTTCACAGGAGTATTAGCAGGAAGCTGCATCAGAATTGGAGCAACCAGGACTTGAACCGGCATTCTGCAGTGAGTTGCTGGGTGTCACAAGTGGTGGCTCAATCTGCTGTACCACAATGGCAGCCCCAAGAGCTGTCCTTTCTGACTAGGCTGTCTTGGCTACCATCTTGAGCTCTTTTGTTCCAGAAGTGAAGGCCCCTATACCAGCCATCATGTTGCTGGTAGCCAGTGCTACAGGAGAACTAGGAAAGACAGCATCATATATTGGAGTAGAAATACAGAAAATGTCATAGGACATACAGATGAGTAGCATGAGATATTTTACTATCAGTTAACATATTTCTTGAACATAGATTCTGAATAAGGCCCATATAGGTAGCACATAGGAAATTCAGGAAACGCATATAGAAGCTTTTTTGGGGAAAAGTTTTCGTACATGATCTTATGGTGATATCAGGGTTTGAAACTCCTAGAATATTCATAAAACTTAACTTGTCCCTACCCAGGCTGAGTGGAGAGAAGAAGTGAAAAAGCACTTTGAAAAGATCAAAAGTGAAGGAACGTGCATACACCGATTGGATGAAGAACTCATTCGAAGGCGCAGAGAAGAGCTCAGGTCAGCTGGTCCATCCTGCTCCGCCTCTCATCCCCACCCCCACCCCGCCCACGCAGGGTCTTCAGAGGGGACCAGGAGCCTCTCTGTGAATCAGCATTGCACTCCCTGCATGCCCTTCACCTCAGCTTTTGTTGTGCTCTTTCACGGTGCCCTGAAAGTTAGCCCTCCTTCATATCTCTTTCTAATCCTCTCCCACAGTCCTGTTCTCCCCCTTTACTAAATCTGCGACCACAGTTCCTGGAGCAGTGCTGTTTGTTCTGTCAGCCACTGGCCCAGATGCCACAGAGGCCAGATGTGCGTAAGATTTAGTCCCTGGCTTCGAGGTGCTTGGAATCCAGGAAGGGGCACAACACGGCTTATAGACAACCACTGTCTTAATCTGATTGGGCTGCTGTGAGGGTATTTCAAAAAGCTCATGGAAAATGGAATTAAAAGATAAATTTGTTTTGGAGTGCAAAAAATTTCAAACTCATGCATAGGTTTTTCATAATATGTGTACTTTTTAAAGTACCCTTCTATAACAAATACTATAAACTGGGTGGTTAGAAACAACAGATGGGGCCGGTGCTGTGGCACAGTAGGTTAATCCTCCTCCTGCAGTGCCGGCATCCCATATGGGCACTGGTTCTAGTCCCAGCTGCTCCTCTTCCCATCCAGCTCTCTGCTGTGGCCTGGGAAAGCAGTGGAAGATGGCCCAAGTTCTTGGGCCCCTGTACCTGTGTGGGAGACCCAGAGGAAGCTCCAGGCTCCTGGCTTCAGATCGGCATAGCTCCGGCCGTTGCAGCCATTTGGGGAGTGAACCAGCGGACGGAAGACCTTTCTCTGTCTCTCCCTCTCACTATCTGTAACTCTACCTCTCAAATTAAAAAAAGAAAAAAAACAACAGAAATTTATTTCTCACATTTCTGGAGGCTGGAAAGTCCAAGGTGGAGGCACCAATAGATGTGGTGTCCGATGAGGGCCCAGTCCTCATGGATGGCACCCTCTGTCCTCACACAAACAGGCGAAAGGACTCCCTCCAGCCTCCTTCAGGCGCCCAATAATCCAATCAGAGCCATTGTGACCAGAGCATCTCCCAAAAGTCCCACCTCTTGATATCACCACCTAGGGTGTAACTAGGGGAACACAAACATTCAGACCATAGCAACCACCATGTCTGACATGATCTGTGCCAGGGATATACATAAATGAGTGATGATGTTGGTCTTAACTGCATATTTCCATTGACATGTGAGTACACGATACTGTATTCTTACTAAGATAGTGCCAGTACCACACAGATGAGGGCTACAAATTATGCACAAGTCACATTCAGATTTTATCTGTGACCCTCGTAGCTATTCCGAGTGGCTGAATTGGGCCCTAAAAGATAAGCAGAGTGAAGAGCTTGGATTTCCCATCTCCTGCTCCATCTTGTCTGAGTCACTGCATCAAACAAAGGAGCCTTACAAATGGAGGGCTCTTAGGCAAACGCTTTTCAGACAAACCATCCTGGTTCTCATTTCATTGCAGCTCACCCTTGTTCTCCCCCAGATAGGTGGGCTTTGCTGATCCTGTGTCTTCTCTGATAGGCATGCTCTGGATATCCGTGAGCACTATGAGAGGAAGCTGGAGCGGGCCAATAATTTATACATGGAGCTGAGTGCCATCATGCTGCAGCTGGAGATGCGGGAGAAGGAGCTCATTAAGTACGTATGCAGACAGGTGCCTGTGCTTGCCACGTTGAGTCTGCCAGTCAGAGAAACAGACAGCTCTTCCATGTGGCTGCTACTCAGAATCGGCAGCTACTATTTTCATTCGCCCAGAAATCCCTAAAGATGTGCTGTGCAGAGGTCCCTGCCCCCATGACGGTACAGATCGTCTTGCCACAGAGCTGGTCACAGGGGAACACGCGCTGGGCAGGCATCTGCACTTCACCCTGCAGCACGGCCCCTCATCAGGAGGAGCGCGGCGTGGAGGGGTGGGAGCTCATCACCCCCCAGGGAAGTAAAGTGGCTGCTGAAAGTGGTTTCATGTAATCCTGATGGTGACAGGCAGACCAGGAGTCCTGACCCAAACTGCGGCTCCTGCAAATAGGCGGGACTGTGCAGGGGAAGAGAGCCTGCGCCTGCCTCTCTGAACAGAAGTGCGGGATGAAGTCAGGTTCATTTGAGTTTAGTGCTTTCTTGGCTTGGTTTGGTTTGGTTTTTTAACCTGAATAACAGCCTTGTTTTTCAAGTCACCTGCATTTTGAAGTGTGGCCAGAACCTGTGGGTAGAATTAGCCTGTGACAGCATCCTGCCCATCCTTTCTGTCTCCAGTGTCTGAGCTGTGGCTTTTATCTCTCATTCTGCAGGCGTGAGCAAGCAGTGGAAAAGAAGTACCCTGGGACCTACAAACGACACCCTGTCCGCCCAATAATCCACCCCAATGCCATGGAGAAGCTCATGAAGAGGAAAGGTGTGCCTCACAAGCCTGGCATGCAGACCAAACGGTGAGACACCATGCCCACCTGATCCTCAGATATATGGGAAAACGTTGTCTGATGCTACATTCTCATGTGTTGGCCGGTGTGGCTGGCCCCTTCTGTAGCTCATCATTAGCACACTGACACAACAGAAATAAAACAGTAGGAAGGTAAGAGCATTCCATGAGCTCCAGGAATAGATAGAGCTGAATCTAAATCCTGGCCCTGCCTTCCAGGCTCTGTGACTTGGGCCATGTTGTTTGTTTGTTTGTTTTTGACAGGCAGAGTGGACAGTGAGAGAGAGAGACAGAGAGAAAGGTCTTCCTTTGCCGTTGGTTCACCCTCCAATGGCCGCTGCGGCCGGCGCACCGCGCTCATCTGATGGCAGGAGCCAGGTGCTTCTCCTGGTCTCCCATGGGGTGCAGGGCCCAAGCACTTGGGCCATCCTCCACTGTACTCCCTGGCCACAGCAGAGAGCTGGCCTGGAAGAGGGGCAACCGGGACAGAATCCAGCGCCCCGACCGGGACTAGAACCTGGTGTGCCGGCGCCGCAAGGCGGAGGATTAGCCTATTGAGCCACGGCACCGGCCAAGAGGTCTTCCATCTGCTGTTTCACTCCCCAAATGGCTGCAATGGCCAGAGCTGTGCTGATCTGAAGCCAGGAGCCAGGAGCTTCTTCTGAGTCTCCCACGCGGGTGCAGGGGCCCAAGGACCTGGGCCATCTTCCACTGCCTTCCCAAGCCATAGCAGAGAGCTGGATCGGAAGTGGAGTAGCCGGGAGTTGAACTAGCATCCACGTGGGATGCCAGCACTGCAGGTGGCAGCCTCACCCACTATGCCTCAGCACCAGCCCATATTTAGCCTCTTTGAATGCCAGTGTCTTCATATTTGAAGTGGTATAATTATAGCACATGAGATTATGAGATTTCTTTAAAATATTTATTAAATGTATTTATTTGAAAGACAAAATTACAGAGAGACGTAGAGAGAGAGAGGAAGAGAGAGGTCTTCCTTCCTCTGGTTTAACCCCAAATGGCTGTAACAGCTGGAGCTGAGCCGATCCAAAGCCAGGAGCCAGGAGCCAAGAGCTTCTTCCAGGTCTCCAACATGGGTGCAGCAGTCCAAGGACTTGGGCCATCCTCTGCTGCTCGAAACTGCACCTGTATGGGATGCCGGTATTGCAGGCTGGGCTTTAACCCACTGTGACACAGCACCAACCCCGTGAGATTTTTTTTCTAATTTTTATTATTCTTAGGTCACAAATTAATTGATCATAATACTTGATTTTTGACACAACATTTCATGCATGGCCAACATTTATTTATACATCTAGTTAGTTCTTTTTAATAATGTAATAACTTAATAACACCCAAAACAAAAGCATGAACTTTAATAATAACCTGTATCCAACATTTGAATCCCCTCATTGGACTCCTTCCTGGGATTTCTGTGAAGTTTAAACAAAATGATATGTTAAATCATCTATCAAATCATAGGTGCTCAAAAAAATGGGTTTTCAAATAGTTTTAAAAAGATTTCTCTTGGCTGGCGCCGCGGCTCAATAGGCTAATCCTCCACCTAGCGGTGCTGGCACACCAGGTTCTAGTCCCGGTCGGGGCGCCGGATTCTGTCCCGGTTGCCCCTCTTCCAGGCCAGCTCTCTGCTGTGGCCCGGAAAGGGAGTGGAGGATGGCCCAAGTGCTTGGGCCCTGCACCCCATGGGAGACCAGGAGAAGCACCTGGTTCCTGGCTTCGGATCAGCACGGTGTGCCGGCCGCAGCGCCAGCCATGGCGGCCATTGGAGGGTGAACCAACGGCAAAGGAAGACCTTTCTCTCTGTCTCTCTCTCTCACTGTCCACTCTGCCTGTCAAAAAAAAAAAAAAAAAAAAGATTGCTCTTTCCCCACTTGATGATGTATTTACTTTTATTTTAATCTTAGAATAATCTTCCATTCACTTATTACTAAACTCTATATATAGCCTTATTCCTCCAAATAACAGAATCAGCGCTATCCTAGCTGAGTTAATGTAAAGGAAAGGAATGTCCTTCAACCTGGAGTGCAGGATCAACAGTGAGACTCAAGCTAAATACAGTAAGAATAAAGGTCATGAGAAAACACATTTAGGGTTTACACCTAAGCCACCATCTGCAGTGCCAGCATCCCATATGGGCACCAGTTCATGTTCTGGCTCCTCCACTTCCCACCCAGCTCTCCGCCAAGGCGCCTGGGAAAGCAGTGGAAGATGGCCCAAGTCCTTGGGCCCCTGCACACATTGGGGAGACTGGATTCTAGTTTCCTGGCTTCCATCTAGCCCAGCCCTGGATGTTGTGGCTATCTGGGGAGTGAACCAGAAGATGGAAGATCTTTATCTCTCTGTAACTCTGGCTTTCAAATAAATAGATAAATATTTTTCAGTAATATTTTCAGTAATATTTTACAGTAAGGCTGTCAGAGTGATAACCATTCTACCATAGCATGACTAATATAAATATAAACTTCCACTGAGGTTAGATTAATTCCAATTTTGCCTTTACTTACTGCCCCTGGCCATGTTATGGTCAGGTCCTGAGATGGTATTTTTGGATTGCACCTGGTACAACCCTTAGAGGACTCCCAAATACGTCTTTTATTTTGTTGTACTAATGAGGGACAGAGTCATCCACTGCCTCCTCCCTGCAGTCTACCTACCAGTAAAACCAAGATTCTGTAGGCATTGTGGCACAGCTGTTTAAGCCACCACTTGGGATGCCCATTTCCCATACCGGAGTGGCTGGGATTGAGTCCCACCTTCATTTCCGATCCAGCTTCTTTCTAACATACACCCTGAGAGGCCACAGATGATGTCTCAAGTACTTGAGTCCCTGCCATCCCTATGGGAGACCTGGATTGAATTTTTTTTTAAGATTTTATTTATTTATTTATTTGAGACATAGAGTTACAGACAGTGAGAGGGAGAGACAGAGAGAAAGATCTTCCTTCCGTTGGTTCACTCCCAAAATGGCCGCAATGGCCAGAACTGCGCCGATCCGAAGCCAGGAGCCAGGAGCTTCCTCCATGTCTCCCATGCGGGTGCAGGGGCCCAAGCACTTGGGCCATCTTCTACTGCTTTCCTGGGCCACAGCAGAGAGCTGGACTGGAAGAGGAGCAGCCAGGACTCGAATCAGCGACCATATGGGATGCTGGCACCACAGGCAGAGGATTAACCAACTGCACATCAGCGCTGCCCCCCTGGATTGAATTCTTATTTTTTGTTTTTTTGTTTTTGTTTTTGTTTTTGTTTTGTTTTGTTTTAAGATTTATTTATTTACTTGAAAGTCAGAGTTACACAGAGAGAGAAAGAGAAGCAGAGAGAGAGAGAGAGAGAGAGAGAGAGAGAGAGGGGTCTTCCATCCTCTGGTTCACTCCCCAGTTGGCTGCAATGGCCAGAGCTGCGCCTATCCAAAGCCAGGAGCCAGGAGCTTCTTCTGGGTCTCCCACACAAGTGCAGGAGACCATGAACTTGTACCATCTTCTATTGCTTTCCCAGGCCATAGCAGAGAGCTGGATCAGAAGTGGAGCAGCCGGAATTCAAACACGCGCCCATATGGGAAGCCAGCACTGCAGGCAGCAGCTTTAACCCACTACGCCACAGTGCCAGCCCCATGTTTTTAAGATCTATTTATTTATTTATTTATTTGAAAGTTGGAGTTACAGGAAAGAGAGAGAGAGAGAGGTCTTCTATCTGCTGGTTTACTCCCCTGAGCCAGGCCAGAGCCAGGAGCTTCATCTGGGTCTCCCATGTGGGTGGCAGGAGCCCAAGCACGTGGGCCATCTTCCACTGCTTTTCCCATGCTGTTAGCAGGAAGCTGGATCAGAGGTGGGGCAGCCAGGACTTAAAAAGGCACAGTACCGGCCGCGGCGGCCATTGGAGGGTGAACCAACAGCAAAGGAAGACCTTTCTCTCTGTCTCTCTCTCTCACTGTCTACTCTGTCTGTCAAAAAAAAAAAAAAAAGAAAAAAAGAAAAGAAAAGAAAAGAAAAGAAAAAAAGAAAGAAAAAAGGCGCAGATATGGGATGCTGCAGCTGGCGGCTTTACCCACTATGCCACAATGTCAACCCCTAGATTGAGTCTTTGCCTCCTGGCTTTGGCCTCACTCAGCCCTGCGAGTTGTGGCAATTTGGAAATTAAGTCAGTGGGTGGAAGGTGTCTCTCTCTCTCTCTCTCTCTCTCTCTCTCTATCTCTGCCATTCAAATAAATAAACCTTCAAAAGTAGAAAAGAGAACTACAGTCGGCCCTCCTTCCATATCCATGGGTTCTATATCAACAGAGTCTACCAAATGCAGATAGAAAATCCTAGGGGAAAAATATTGCATTTGGACTGGACATGTACAGACTGATTTTCTTGTCATTATTCCCTAAACACTACAGCAACAGCTACTTAAATAGTATTTCCCTCACCTTAGAGTTTGCTAGAATCATAGGCTATAAGGCCACACCCCAGACTGACAGAATCAAAATCATCTTACCAACTCTTTATTCACAACAAACATCCAGGTTTGTGCTCTGACTACTGACTAGACCAGGCTGGAAGTTAGGAGAGCCTTCCTGTCTGGATTCTACCGCTGAGGAGCCATGAAGCCATAGCCACACTGGCTGGGCTTTGGGTTCCCTGTGACATACGTGGAGGTGGGGCTGTATCTGTGGTCCCCAAGCAAGGCCTGGGATCCCTGAGGGCTTACACAGAGATGTCGTGGAGGCTGCCATCTGCCGTGGGATTAGAAAGTTAAGGAGAGGGAGCCCTGTAGGGAGGCGCTCTCCCCACACACCATCCCTCTGACCTTAGCAAGTTCTTCTATTCTGTTCTATTTACTGTTTTTTTTTTCTTTCATAATAATCCATTTGGGAGAAGGATTCTGTTGTTAAAAAAACAAAAGTTTGGATCTCCAGCTCTAAAATCTCCAGTTTATTTTTATCTGTCTGGTCCCAAAGAAGGGTGAGGTGACTCCCTGGCAGGAAGGAAGTGGCAGTACTTCCATGGCACTCTGCCATGAGTCACTTCATCAGCTCAGAAACCACGTACTGTTTGCCTCTAGTCTTTGGAGCCAGTGTGGGCAAGTTGAGCTTCAGGCTTCTGGCTTCTTCCTGTACATGATCTTCGTGGCTAGCCCAGTGGGCAATAGGAAATGGAGCTATAAGAGGACCTCCTCCCTTTATGACCAAACTAGATTGCCAGCGTCACTCCTCATTAGCCTTCTCTTACCACCTCGGTGCATCCTCCTGGGCTCTCTACTTTATCCTCCCTTCCAAGATCCTTCCCTTCCTTTCCCTTCTTTCAAGACTTATGGAGCAGGGTTCCTTGATCCGGTCCTTCACACACAATAACAAGACCCTCGGGGAGGCCATGTCTAGGCCCAAACCCCTGAACTTAGCCTCTTGGGTGATTAACTTGAAGTTTCTTTCTCTGGTTCTAGACCTCTTTACTCTGTCATCCCTTGGAGATCTTCCCAGATTCATCATCTGACATTGCTTAAGGTGGTCAAATACCCATACCCCACCTTGACATACTGGCACCAAATTGACAGCTAGGACTGTGAGGAAGAGATCAAGAAGCCTGTGCAGGGGCTGGTGTTGTGGTATAGCAGATCAAGCCAACACCTGTGATCCTACATTTCATATAGTCGTTGATTTTTGTCCCAGCTTCTCTACTTCCTATCCAGCTCCATGCTAATGGCCTGGGAAAACAGCAGAGGATGGCTCAAGTGCTAGGGCCATTACCACCTATGTAGAAAACCTGGATGAAACTCTTGGCTCCTGGCTTTGTCCTAGCCCACCCCTGGCCATTGCAGCCATTTGGGGAGTGAACCAGTGGATAGAAGATCTCTCTCTCTCTCTTTCTCTCTGTAATTCTTTCAAATAAATAAATCTTAAAAAAAAAAAAAAAAAAAAGAGGGGTCCAGCACTGTGGCACAGCTGTTAACACTGTGGCAGAGGGTTAAACCACCACCTGCAGTGCCAGCATCCTATATGGTGCCAGTTTGTGTCCCAGCTGCTCCACTCCTGATCCAGCTCCATGCTAATGCACCTGGGAAAACAACAGGAGATGGCCTGGACCTTTGGGCCCCTGCTATCCACATGGGTGACCAGGAGAAACTCCTGACTCCTGGTGTTAGTTAGCCTGACCCATCCCCTGCCACTGTGGCCATTTGGGGAATGAACCAGAAAATGGAAGATATCTCTCTCGCTCGCTCGCTCGCTGTCTCTCCGTCTCCCCCCCACCCCCGCTGTAACTCTGCCTTTTAAATAAATAAATAAATCTTAAAAAAAAAAAAAAAGAGGAGCTGGCACTGTGGCACAGCAGGTAAAGCCGCAGCCTGCAGTGCCAACATCCCATGTAGGCGCCGGTTTGAGTCCCAGCTGCTCCTCTTCCTATCTAGCTCTCTGCTATGGCCTGGGAAAGCAGTAGAAGATGGCCCAAGTCCTTGGGTCCCTGCACCCACATGGGAGACCTGAAAGAAGCTCCTGGCTCCTGGCTTCAGATTGGCATAGCTCCTGCCATTGAGGCCAACTGGGGAGTGAACCAACAGATGGAAGACCTCTCTCTCTCTCTCTCTCTCTCTTTCTCTCTCTCTATCTCTGCCTCTCCTTCTCTCTCTGTGTAACTCTGACTTTCATATAAATAAACAAATAAATCTTTAAAAAAAAAAAAAAGGAAGGAAGGAAGCTAGCTAGCTATAGAGGGGCCAGTGTTGTAGCACAATAAGTTGGCCCATGGTCTATGACACTGATATCCCTTATTGGGGTGCAAGTTCGAGTACCAGCTTCTTGTCCTGGAATCCAGCTCCCTGCTAATGTGCTTGGGAGGGCAGCAGAAGACGACCCAAGTGCTTGGGCCTCTGCCACTCATGTGGGATACCCAGATGGAGTTCATGGCTCCTGGCTTTGGCCTAGCCCTAGCTGTTGCAGGCATTTGGGGAGTAAACCAGCAGATGGAAGATCTCTGTGTGTGTGTGTGTGTGTGTGTGTGTCTCCTTTTCTCTCTGTCACTCTTTTGAATAAATAATAAGATCTTTTAAAAATAAAGAAAAAGAAAGATAAAAAAGATAGAGAAAGATTTTTAATTCTACCCTGTAGGGAGGGAGGGAGGCACAGAATAAAAAACAAAAGATATAAAGGAAATCTCCCATTAGTGGATATTTAGGTTGTTTCCACCTCTCACTATTTTAAGCAATAGCATAATATAACATCATCAAACGTATATCTTTGTGCACATCTGTTATCTTCACAGGGTAAATCCCTGTAATTGTGACTGTGCATTCAAGGGGTGTATGTATTTTAAGGCTTGGAATACATTTCTTCAAACTTGAATGTGTGTAATACCAAACCTGCTCTTTCTCCAGGCCAGATCTGTTGAGATCTGAAGGTATCCCCAGTGCTGAAGTAGCTCCTACTGCATCCCCCTTGTCCGGAAGTCCCAAAATGTCCACCTCAAGCAGCAAGAGCCGATATCGGAGCAAACCACGGCACCGCCGCGGGAACAGCCGAGGCAGCCACAGTGACTTTGCAGCCATCTTGAAAACCCAGCCAGCCCAGGAGAATTCCCCCCATCCCACCTCCTCCCCACCACAAGATGAGTCCCAACACCCTTCTGTCCGTCACCATACTCCTCTGCAGCAGCAATACCAGCAACCCCCTCCTGCCTTGTCTCAGAGCCCCCACCCCAGACTCAATATGCACGGACAGGACATTGCAACCTGCGCCAACAACCTGAGGTATTTCGGCCCAGCAGCCGCCCTGAGGAGCCCACTCAGCAACCATGCTCAAAGACAGATGCCAGGCTCCAGCCCCGACCTCATCTCCACAGCCATGGCAGCAGACTGCTGGAGAAGCTCTGAGCCGGGCCAGGGCCAGCCTGGCCCCTGGGGCTGCTGTCAGGCTGGCCCATATGACCCTTACCTCCAATGCAGGCCTGAACAGTGTGGGTCCTTAGACACACCCACCGCTGAGCCCGTGGGGAGGAGCCCCAACCTTTCCAAGTCACCAGCACACAATCCCCTCTCGGAAAATGCCCAGGGTCCTGAGAAAAGGGAAGAAAATGAATTTGATGGCTGTGGGTCTGCCTCATCACTTGGCACCCCTCATCACATGACCCCCCCAGTGCTACCTCGAAAAACAAGGCCCCTGCAGAAGGTAAGGTATCACGACAAGGGTAATCTGTGTCATGCCTTCAGAGAATACCAGAGCCTGTCATTTTATGCACGTTATAAAAGGGACATACAAAGGACATGTTTTATAAATGGATGAGATAATAACATAAATAGAAGTCTTTTAAATACTTGCTTTCCACACTGCTTAAGGGAGGGACCAGGGAATACCCTGTGGGAACTGCAGAACCAGGGGAATGATTGAAATGTGTATTACTTTATAGCCAGATAGCCGTACTTGGGGGATGTGTGATCAACACAGTTTGGCAATCGTTACCCTAGAACCCTGGTCCTGAGGAGTGTTGCAGGAAGGAAGGCTCCCGTTATAAAACAAGTTTGAGAACCAGTATTCTCTGTGCCCTCTTGGAGGTTCCTAGTGCACATAAACAAATCACGGGCTTTGAGAAACCCTGTGGTCAGCTTGTTTAATCCAACATTTCCCTCGCCTATTTGTGCAGCTTTTTAAAATAACATCTAGTAAGTCCCCTCACAGAATTTACTTTCTGCATGTTATACTTTGGGAAACATGGCCTTTATTAATAAGCATCATGACCCAGCAAGTTTAATAAAGATGAATAAAAATGAAAATATAAATAAAAAAGATGAATAAAAAATAAAAATTAATAAAGATGCCTTTATTAATAAGCATCATGACCTCATGCACTGGCTGCCTGGCGCCTCATAGCTGGGAGCCAGTCCACCATTGTGGGAATCAGGCAGATCTTAGTGCAAAGTCAGGTTCTTCCACCTAGTACATGTAGAGACAGAGAGGTCTGCCATCCGATGCAGAGCTGGGCCGATCTGAAACCAGGAGCTTCTTCCAGATCTCCCACATGTTGGCAGGGGTCCAAGCACTTGCGCCATATTCCACTGCTTTCCCAGGAGCATTAGTAGGAGCTGGTTCGGAAGTGCAACAGCCAGGATTTGGACCAGTGATATGGGATGCTGGTACTGCAGATGGCAGCTTAATCCAAATTAAAAAAATTTTTTTTTAATTTTTAAAAGATTTACAAGTAGTACCCTTATGAATCTTGATTTCCTTGTCCTTAAAATGGGCCTGTAAATGGACTCTGCCTCATGTTGTTATGAAGATTAAATGAGCAAATACATATAAAGCATTTAGAACAGGCCTGACCCGCAACAGCCTTCTAAAAATGTGTGTTCATTCGCTAGTGAGTCAGAAAATAAGATTATGGGTGAAAACTGCTTAGAACATGGTAAACACCCACTGGATTCTAAGCCTTGATTCATCTCATCAGTGTTATTCATCTGCAACTAAGTTGAAAGAGTGAAAGGATCTAGATTATCAATGCCATCTTTTTGGTAAACTAGGCATTTGGTAAAAATTAGTGGTAAAAATTTGGTAAAAAATCAGTGAAGCTGAAGGTCGTTGCCTTAGAATTGTATTTCTTCCTCTATAGCTGCCGCTGCTAGTGCCTGAGCATCCCCAGAGGTTACATTGTGTTTCAAGTGATTGCAGCTGATTTGGGCTGATTGATTCTCTACGTCCCCTACCACCATGGCCAGTAACGTGTGTTTTTTGGTTATGACATTATTAGGATATAATGGGCATACCATCAAGTCCTTCCTTTTAAAGTATATAATTCAATGCTTTTATCCCCAGTGTTGTGCAGCCATCACAACCAATTTTAAAGCATTTTCATCACACCAGAAAGAAACCCCACACCCTTTATCAGTTACCCATCCCCAGACTGTCCCAAGGAACGTGGATTTTGGAACCATCCTGATGCCACTTTGATGCCACTTTGGTGCCATCTGTGGGTCTACAGGCCGCAGCCTCAGCCTCATTAGGACTGCTCTTCCCCATTGCAGCTCAGCTTCCCTTTATCAAGATACACTCCCCTGGGTATTCTAGGATGGCACTCATGTCAGCAGACAGGGTAACTCCATCTTGTATCTTTCCTGTTCAAAAAAACATATCAGAATACAAATGAGAAAGAGTCATGATGTTTTAGAACTGATTTTTAGATATGTAAATTATCCCCACCCTCAGTAGAGTTACTTGGACCCAGTTACCCACTGCACAAGAAAGAGAGCCAAGCATCGTGGTGCTGTGGTTAGAACAGTGCTGTCACATGAAGCTGCTCTTCCCATGCCCTTGTTGTGAGATGAGATCTTTGTAAAAGATGTCATCTTCTTGGTTGGCACACTTACTCAGCCTTCCAGACCAACCAAGGACCTATCGTGAGACCTCATATGTCTCAGCCGGAGCTCCCTTATCCCTGCGAACATGCTGACTCAGTAAAACTGCAGTAGGCACCCCTTTTTTAAAAATGGCAAATAATTACTCTTTATATATATACATATATATATATGTATTTGTGCGGATAAGTATCTCTTTTGTGTGCAGTATTGTATTCATGGTGGCATGAGGAATACAATACAAATACAAGACATGGTCTGACCCTCAAAGAATATATATCTTAGTATCACTATAACATTAGTGAAAAAGTATGTAACAGGGGAGTTGCTGGGCTTTGAAGAACTGAAAGGTCACTTCTTGGTGGAATCTCTAAGACAGAGCTGGGACCACCGGTAGCAATGAGACTTCCCCCAAGACCTCCTCTCCAGCTTCCCTCTCCATCTCACCCTGTCATGGAATATTTGTCTCCCTGAGGGCTCAGATAAAGTCTCACAGAGTTCTGTATGTCTCCCAGGGCCTGCCATAATGAACAACCAGGAAAAGTTGCTAAATGAGTAAATAAGGATATGTATGACTAAAGGTGACACACATCAAGCTACTGCCAAGTGCCTTTTGATGCTAATTAAATCTTTAACAGGTACTGGGGGATAGGGATGAGAGGGAGTGATGTTGAAATAAATTCTTTTCTCCTTGTTCTCCTCAGAGTGGGGATGACTCCTCAGAAGAAGAAGGGGAAGTAGACAGTGAAGTTGAATTTCCACGAAGACAGAGGTAAAACCAACAAACACACGATGGCTTTCAGTGAAATGATGGAATTGGGTTGGCTACCCCTGTTCGATCACATGTCACTGCCAGGCCCCTGAGTCCACGTTTCTCCACTGCCACATTTTGGCAGTTGGTTATGCACAGCAGAGCCTGTTCATCAAAATGCACTTCATAGGAACTTCAAGATGAGGAGCATGAGCAGATTCAATTGAAAATGCAGAGGGCCATTTGTAAACAATAGCCATGATGTTCATCAGTAATTTTATCTGTTTACTGCACTTCCCTGTGTGAGCCTATTCAGGCTGCTATTAAAAAAAAAAGAAGAAAGAAATGGGTGGCTGAAAACAGAAGTTACTCTCTCACAGTTCTGAAGACTAGTAAGTCCAAGATCAAGGTTGCAGATAATGCAGTTCCTGGTGAGGGCTCTGCCTGGCTTGTACACAGCCACCTTCTCACTGGGCCCTCACATGGTTGGCAGTCAGGGGATTCTCTTTTTGGTAAGGTCCCAGCCTTACCAGATTAGGGTCCCAGCCTGATAACTTCATTTTAACCTTAACTACCTCCTAAAGACCTGTCTCCACATACAGTGACACTGGGAGTTAGGGCCTCAACATAGGAAATGCAGGGGTGGAGGGGCAGACACAGTTCAATTCACAGCATTCCCCATGCCTTGGATTTTATGCAAACCTAAGTATGATTACATTATTTGAGTGTTGAGTCCTCCTTTAACCCAGCCTTAGAAATAGCCTCCAGGGTTACGTGTCTGGCCTCATAGTTAGGATACTGCTTGGGATGCTCATGTCTCATGTTGGAGCACCTGGGCTCTAGTCCTGGCTGTGCTCCTCATCATGGCTTCCTGCGAATGAACACTCTGGGAAGGAGGCAGCAGGTGATGGCTCAAGTAGTTGGGTCCCTGCCACCACATGGAGACCAGAATTAAGTTCCTGGCTCTTGGCTGGGCCCAGCCATTGCAGGTACTCGGGGAATGAAACAATGGATGAAAGTGCGTCTCTCTCTCTCTTTCTCTCTTTCTCTTTCCCTCTGTCTCTCTCCCTATCTCTCTGCTTCTCAGTAACAAGTACATAAAAATTTTAAAAGGAGATACCTTCTGGCTTAGCTAACAGTAACAAATTTGCTGGCATTCTTAAAGGAAGAGCACCTCCTTTTACTTCTAGAATGAAAGATGCCCCTTCTTAGAAGTGGGAAAGGTAGTTTCCCTCCCAGGAGGCCTTTTCTGCTAATAGACATTCTGTCTTTACAGTGCAAGGCTAAGGCTGTAAGAATCTCCCAGGAGGGTCTGTGCACCTGCCCTCAAACAGGAATTCCCGAAACACTCAAGGGACTCATACACTTTTGGTAGTTTTGGGTGTCTGATGTAAATTCCATTTACGTTTTTACTTCATGATTTTGCTTTTTAAGTCATAATATTCTCCTCCTCTCCCTTCTGGATTACCAGCCTTTAGAACCTGTGCAAGGCCCACTTTCAACTTTTCTTTCCCACAGGGCTTCCTCTATCTGGGCTCTCGCCAGCCTCTTTCCCACTCTTCCCCACCACCTGGCCTGGCCAGCAGAACTGCTCGTACTAAGAAATACAGAAAGGGCAATGGCAGAAGAAACAGTCTTCTTTTTATTATTTGGTTTTAAATTAGTGTAAGCTAACAGCATTCATATTTACTAAGCTACCTGTAAACAATGGGGGAAAAATGAGAATCTTTTGGAAATTCTCTTCTTAGGAGCTTTGACTACAGCCCAGTGTAAACTGGAAGGCGCCAGCAACTGGCTCGGCAGAGCTAGCTGCAGTGAACGCTGCTTCCCAGCTCATTTCAGCAGTTAAAAAGGCACTTAGCCTTTCAGGGTGGCCACACTCCGTGCACACTGGGCACTAGGAAGTGTGGCTGGGGCGGTCTGGGGGCCAGAGAAGGACCCTGATCAGGACATGAGTAGGCCCGGCCCATGCCTTCTCTGACAGGGAGGCTTCGAACAAGCCACTTCCCTTCTCTGGCTCCAGTTTTCCTATTTGGGAAATTAGATCAGAGAATCTCAAAATCTCTCACCGTGAGAATCTATGACAGTCTGAATAAGAAACCTAATTTCACACAAACATCTCGGCACTGTGCATACATGGACACAGTGTGATTAGACAAGCTGGGTTTTTTCAAAGACCAGTGATAGGCATCAGCTTTGGGTTGTGATGTTTAGTTACACAAACGCATAGCGAAATAAAAAGGGAAATTTAGGTTTCCCTTTTGTGTTAGTCACTGCAGGCTTTACCACGGACTGGGTGGCCCAAACAACAGACTTCTTGTGGTTCTGGAGATTGGGAAGCCCCAGATCAAGACGCCAGCAGATTCGGTTGGCTCTTCCGGGTTTGCTGATGGCCACCTTCCCTCCGTGTCCTCACATGGCCTTCCCTCCATGCATGCAAGTGAAAGACGGAGAGACAGAACTCTTCTTCCTCTTTTTCCCTTAAGATTTACTTACTTATTTTGAAAGTCAGAGTTTCAGAAAGAGAGAGAATGTCTTCCATCCACTGGTTCACTTCCCAAATGGCCGAACCGCCAGGGTGAGCCAAGATGAAGCCAGGAATTCCACCGGGGTCTCCCAGCTGGGTGGCAGGGCCCCCAGGACCTGGGCCATCCCCTGCTGCTTTCCCAGGTGCATCTGCAGGGAGCTGGATCTGAAGCGGAGCAGCTGGGCGGTGAGCCTTCGCTCAGACACAAAACATGGGTGCGGCAGGTGGCGGCTTAACCGGCCCAGAAATCTTATAAAGCCACCTATTTGATTAGGACCGCACTCTGACGGCTTCATTAAATTTCACCTGTGGCAAGCGCTGTCTTGGAACAGACACAGACACCCTGGACGTCAGTGCGGGGAGCGGTGGGCCCACAGCCCCTCCGCACTGCTTGAAAACTAGGTTCTCCTGTGCCGGGGTCTGGGTGAGGGTGGGGGTTTCAGACAGGAAGGCGGCGGCCCGTGATTAAGTGCCTCTGCCCCTCGCGCCTCCAGGCCCCACCGCTGCATCAGCAGCTGCCAGTCGTACTCCACCTTCAGCTCCGAGAACTTCTCCGTGTCTGACGGAGAGGAGGGAAACACCAGTGACCACTCAAACAGCGCCGAGGAGCCGGCCGGCAGGCTCGAGGGCCGCCTGGCCGAGCAGCTGGACGACCTGCTGTCGCAGACGCCCGAGATCCCCATCGACATCTCCTCACACTCGGACGGCCTCTCGGACAAGGAGTGCGCCGTGCGCCGCGTGAAGACGCAGATGTCCCTGGGCAAGCTGTGCGCCGACGACCGGGGCTACGAGGTGGGCGCTCCCCGGGCCGTGTCCTCGCGGCGCCCTCCCCTCGCGCTCCGGCGGCAGAAAATGGGCGGAGGGAGGGCAGCCTCGCCCGCAGGCCGCCACTTCCGGGGCTGATTGCAACCTCACCGGCTCGCGGCCCCACTCCCTTGCGAGGCACGTGAGGGCGGCACGCTCAGGACAGGCGGGATAGCGCGGTGCCTGTAGGCGGAATCCGACCCTGCCCCAGCGTGTGGCCGTCCCCGGGCAATCCGTAGGGCAGGCTCCTTCTCTGTAGCACGGTGGCGGTGACAGCACCGGTCTCCCAGGGTTCCTGCGAGGATGAAGTGAGTTACCAGACACAGAGCCCTCGCAGCGGGGCCCAGCACTGCAAACCCGAGAAAAGGGGCGTCGGCGCCCCGCGCCTCTCACAAGCACCGCCCCGGGTCGCGTTTTCCCGCCGCCCCCTCCCGCGAGGCGCGCGGTCCGTGCCCACTGAGTGACCCTGTTTTGTCTTGGCTCTGCAGAACCCGATGCAGTTTGAAGAATCGGACTGTGACTCTTCAGACGGGGAGTGCTCCGACGCCACGGTGAGGACCAACAAACCCTACAGCTCCGCCACCTGGTAACGAAGAAGCAGCCGGTCCTGAAGCCCCCCGCACGCGGCGGTTCACACCCGCCCCACCCCCAGACTCCGCCCACCCTCTCCCCGCTTTTTGCCTGGGAAGGGAGCTGCCCCGTCTTCACTACCCCTAGAAACGAGCTGCAATAACAGGAACATGAGACTTCGCAAATCTCTGGAGAAAAATACCCAAGTGAAATTAAGTCTCACTGAACATTTCAATCAAGAATGGCAGGGATCTATTTTATTGAATATTCTAGCTACTGTAACATTGATATTTATTTTTGACATTTTAACACTTTATACTGTAAAGAGTGAACTATATATGATATATAGAGAGACACAATAATTTCTTGAAAAAAAAAAGAAAAACAATGGAAAGAAGTGGAATTTAGGAACAACATCATTTGGAATTTGTGGGGCTGGGAGGTACTATTGCTGCTTCAACAGGGGACCAGTTCCTTGGCCATAAGTGATGGCAGAAGAGCCAGAGCAAGACATACTGAACATTTTAGCTTGTGAAGGACAAAAGAAAGGCAGGTGACTTGTGAACAGATCACGTTCAGTCCAAACAGCTTGTCCAGGTGGAGGATGGACACGATCTAGAGAAGTTGGGTGAACAGATGCTGGCACCCGCGGTCTTTGAGGGCGTGTGCTTCCTGTGGGCGGAAACAAACTGTATGCGGAAGCTGATTTCATTTTCAAGTTTATAAGCAGCATTTGGTAGTGAGGCTTGCAGATAGTCCCTGGCGAATACTCCCCTTGTTAATGCTGTCACTGTCACTACCTTGACCAATGTGTTATCTTGACCAGTGTGTTGATCTTTTAGATTCACGTGCCGCTTTCTTGTAGCTTATGTCCTTTCCACCTGTTAGCCACTTCCTTTAGGAAAAAGGGTTGGGGGGTTCTGAGGAGAAAAGGATAGGGAAAAAGAGCATTTGCAACAGTGTTAGAAAAGCATCTGTAGAATTTGTGAAAATATATCCTCAGGAGGGCTCAGTGCTGTCTGCTGGAGTCATTTTGACTCAAGCAGCAGAACAGCCTTTGAAGGCAGCTAGGATGTCCGTCTGTGTCCAAGCCCAAACCCTCCTTTGTTTTTGTTCAATAACACATTCTGTCCTGAAGCTTTAGTGACTGACTACACTGTCAGAATAAAGGCAAGCTAGGCAGCTTAGAAAAGCAAGCAAACCCTTTCCCAGCACAATAGCGTTTTTGTTAACTACTACTTGCAAAATACATTTTACTTCACTCTGAATCAAAACCGTTCTTGGATAACTGGATTTGGAAATTTGTGGAAAGAACAACTGATGCCAAGCAGGGATTGGAAAGACTTTACATTGTCCCAAGCACGAGGAGGTCCTTCCTGTCTCCAGGGTCACGGACTCAGAAAAGCATCCCAAGGTAACTCCACAGCACCTTGGCTTAAAGGAAAATTTTAACTAGAATTCTCTGTACAAACCCACGTGGACCTCGTTGCTGTCTCTGTCTGCAAGACAGGTCACTGTCAAACGACCTCTGTAGACTCTTGAAGCTCTGACGGCACATCATGCTGGAAGTTAGGGGAGACTTGCACATTCAGGTATTAAAGCATTTCCTGTGCAGGTGAACATGTTGCCCCTCCTCCGGGTTCCACTGACCGCATCAGCCAAAAAGGAAAGGCAGGAGGGAGTTGAGAGCAGTTCCTTTCGCTTGTCTGATCCCTCCATTTGTTTACACTTTATGTTGAGACATTGATTTAAAATGTAGTGTCTGTAATTTATAGCATCTAGGTAGGATGAAGGAAAATGTGTAACTTATACAGAGGACAGTATTGTTTGCATTAAATTATTCCATTTTGTATAAATTCTGTAGCTGGACTACATGAATGATCTTAAGTTATGACATTATTATTGTTATTTTATATTATCATTCTCATTTTCTGTAGATCAGAAGGTGTGTTTTACGATGTAACACAATGATTGTGTTTATTGCTAACCATGAATTACAATGGATTTCATGATTTTAATGAAGGAATGAAAATGGAACTGCCATTGGGGAGCTCCCTGGTATTCATCTGAGCTGTAATCCCTAATTTTCTGTGTCCAGCAACAATCATCTGAGGATGTGTGTCCCGCCCTGAAGCCCAGTGAACACATTGTAATTTTGACTTGACCATGAAAGCTCCTAAGCGGGCAGATGACTGAGTGGATGGACAAGTAGTTCAAAAGCTGTATACTTTCCCAAGTTTCCTAAGAATAAAATCATGGGACTACACTGGAAGCAAAAGAGAATTATTTAACACCCTGAAGGGGAGAGACCCAGAGAGTTTCTGCATGGAGCTCCTGGATTGGTTGTGAGAATTGAGTATAGTTTTTGATCTCCTTCCTGCCAAAGCCCACAAAACCAATTTTTTCTCTCCTAGTTGGGAGTAGCAGAAAGAGTCAAAAAAGAATACACATATATGCTAATATATGTTAATATACATTTATATAATGTACATGGCATAAATATGTGACATGAAACACCTAGCTGTGTTGTCATCCATAACAAGACTAGAGAAATTCCAGAGGAGACCTGTACCGCTTGAGGATCATAAGGCTGGAAAGCACCTTGGGAGGTCACATTTTCCATCCATACAGATCACGTGTATTGTGGGCATCTCTCTGGTTCATTACTCCTTGGAATGGAGATGCTACAACTCCATATCCTCTTCTGGTCCAACATAAAACACAAGTTTCAGTACACTTGAGTGTGTCCAGTTCTTTCTCACCTTCAGTGGCAACACAGAAGACCTGAGGGTCAATGGTCTGCCTACAAAACCCACCCATTTTAACTCCTAACTTCCATCTGTTTTTTAAAGTTCTCACATTGGCTATCATGCTAATTCTGCCTTATCTGGATTAACCATATGAGCATGTTAGGTAGTAGAGAGTGTTGAATCTTCAGGCATTCAGTGCATAGCCAAGATCTGAATAAGGTCCACCTGGAGCACAGGTTTTGAATAGCATTGACTAGAGGTGTCAGAGAAGGAAGTATCCTGAGTCAAGGTTAAACGGGGAAAATACCTCCTCTATCCTGGCTTGTCCTTCACTGCCTGCCTCAGGGTGATGGGGAAGAGCTTGACTGGATACCTGTTTCCTTGAGAAGAACTCCACAGGCCTCTGAAGAGTGTGGAATCAAGAGCTCAGGGAATTTAAGAGCTCATTCTTCAGTCCTGTCAAATGCAACAGTGCCCACACTCACTCAGCATTGTTTTTGACTGTCTGCAAGATGAGTTTTGATTTGTGTTGCAGATGGGCATTTGGTTCTGATTTCCATCTCTTTCTAGCTCAGATCTTCCAAATAACAGTTCCTCTCAGAATCGATCAGCACGAGGACTGAGAAGCCTGCATCCACTTTGCGACTGTGAGGGGCTCTGTCACCACCAAAGTTTAGAGCTGACTGCAAGGCTGTGGGGCACTCTTGCTCAGAAGCAGGAAGAAGCTGGCTCTGTTGAGAGATGACTTGGCGTGGCCTGCTTGCAGTTTGCATACTTAAGAACTTTAGAATCAGCCGACCCATACTTCTACAATGAAGGACATATTTAACAGGATTTAACGAGCACTGGACATCTACTTCCACGCCTCATTGTGTTAATTATTACCCTGTCCCACCTCAGGTGATAGATGTGATGGCTTTGGATTTCCCTGGCCCCTCCCCGCTGCGCACCACCATCCTTCCAGTGCACACGCCTCCTTAGCGACCACATGAGTTGCTCTTCTTCTTTCCACACTTTTATATCTCAATCTTTTTTCTTTTTCTTAACACCTTCCTTCTTGAACTTCCTGTTCCAGCTCTCCAGAATAGAATATTTGGAATCCAATTCCCTGCTCCATAGTGTAATGTGTTTGTTTTTCCACTAAGCCAGAAACCAAAATACCACCACAGGCCACCCCAGTCCCAAGCACCCAAGACCAACGTTACTGACTGAGCATCATTTCCTTTCCTGCCGAGCAGACAGCCTCAGAACCTCTCACCTCCCGGCACTGGGGAGAGCAATGAACATTCAGCTGCAGTTGGTGGACAGGGAACTCCATTTCCCATCCCAGCCCTGACCTCATGATTGGTTTCCAAAGGTGGTCTGAGGTCTTGAGTTAGCCCTGATGGGGGAATGACGGGCTCATGCCAGCATCTTCCTTATGGAGTCCACAAAGCTGTCAGGACCACTTCCCTCTACCTTCTGGACTCCAACTCCAACTGATTAATCACCAATCACTGATGAATCGAATTGCAAAATATCTCCTCATTCACATCGCTTATGTTGAACGAATGTGTTCCTCCTTCGCCTTATACAAACAGAACAGTGAGTCCCAGTTACTTGTTTCCACCTTAGACCCTGTAAAACTAATAGACCAAAAGCAATGTGACATTCTTTACAAGACGACTTGTACTGTCAGTATGAACTCAGTGCCTTTCCAGGAAGCAAGATTTTTCTTTGCTGATTTTGTAGAGCAAACGTGCCAGCATACCTACACCAGTGTTACCGGTCTCACAGACCAGACACATTGGACTTGTATTAGCGGGCTTGTTTGCATGTTACAACTGATACTGCAGACGCCTGTTGAAATCGGGATGAACTAGGCTGCCAGGAGGAGCAATCTTGTGGAACCTGGAGTACTTCTCAGGGACAGAGGCAGACGCGGAGAGCTCTGGAATCCCTGCTCTGAGAAACAGGGTGACCCTAACAGAGTTGGGTCAAGGCTTTAGTAACCTGTCAGGTACCCAGTCCAAAGCAGATGACAAAGCCACTGGAAGGAAGCTTCTGGCAGGACGCCAGGCCTGCTCTCCAGAGCCACTTCACAGCACTCGTCGGGATGCAGGCTCCTGGCCCCAGACTGCTGTCCAGTGACTGGTAGACAGGGTGCCCCAGTGGTTGCAGGGCAGGCGGAACCCAAGCCAGAGTGCTCAAGCCATGAGGAAGATGCCCCATAGTACCCGTATCACTCCAGTGGTGCTCCACCTCCTGAGACCACTTCTCACCCTCCTTGATATATATCTATATATATATATATATTTTTTTTTTTTTTGACAGGCAGAGTAGACAGAGAGAGAGACAGAGATAAAGGTCTTCCTTTGTCGTTGGTTCACCCTCCAATGGCCGGCGTGCTGCAGCCGGCGCACTGCACCGATCCATCCGAAGCCAGGAGCCAGGTGCTTCTCCTGGTCTCCCATGCAGGTGCAGGGCCCAAGCACTTGGGCCATCCTCCACTGCACTCCCGGGCCACAGCAGAGAGCTGGCTTGGAAGAGGGGCAACCGGGACTAGAACCCAGTGTGCCAGCACCGCAGGCGGAGGATTAGCCTATTGAGCCACGGCGCCGGCCCCTCCTTGATTCTTTATTACAATAATGTGACTTCCTACCATTTGGAGCAAATGAATTTCTTTTTTGTGACTGTCACAAACTGACCTCCCTCCCCTGTTTCCCTCGTGGTCCCCTGTACTGAGTTCCCGTCACCAGTGTTGTCACCCGTGATGCTGTGTCTCTTTGTAATATACAGCAATGGGATCAAGAATGACTATCAAAGCAAACAAATGCATGGCGTTGAACAAAATGTGTACCTCACCGTTTGCTGGTCCTGTCTTTCCCTCAGGTACTGCTTGTCCTGAGAGCTGCCCTCCAGGTCTCAGTCTTCGTCAGAACTTCTGGGAAAGGCAGGCTTCCTAAGCCTGGGTGTCTGCAGCAATGGCGCACAACCGCAAAACATAGACAGCTATCATTTTCTTTTGTGATAGCTTCTTCCCAATGCTGTAAAGCCTAGACAGGAAGTCTGCTTCTTCCCTAAGCATTCTTGCTCTCGGTGTAGTGACCCCACCATCCAGTGGGTACAGAGGAGGAAAAGAGGAAAATTAAAATCTGGAGTGCTGGGGCCGGTGCCAGGGCGTAGCAGTGCCGGATGCTCCATTTCCAATCCAGCTCCCTCCGAATAGCCAGCGAAAGCAACGAAGGGTGGCCCAAGTGCTTGGGCCCCAGCACCTGTGTGGAAGACCTGGAAGAAGCTCCTGGCTCCTGGCTTTGGATCAACCCAGCTCTAGTTGTTGGGGACATTTGGGGAGTGAACTAACGGATGGCAGATCTCACTCTAACTCTGCCTTTCAAATAAATAAATCTTCATTTAAAAAAAATCTGTAGGGGCCAGTGCTATGGCATAGCGGATTAAAGCCCCAGCCTGCAGCGTTGGCATCCCATATGCGCGCCAATTTGAGTCCCGGATGCTCCTCTTCCGATCCAGCTCTCCGCTATGGCCTAGGAAGGCAGTGGAAGATGGCCCAGTTCCTTGGGCCCTGTACCCATGTGGGAGACCAGGAAGAGGCTCCTGGCTTCTGATCAGCTCAGCTCTGGCCATTGCAGTCATTTGGGGAGTGAACCAGTGGAATGGAAGACCTCTCTCTGCCTCTCCTTCTCTCTCTGTAACTCTGACTTTCAAATAAATAAAATAATTCTTTAAAAAAAAAAAAAAAAAAGGCTGTAACGATTTTGGGAAGAGGAGGCCTACTAAGAGTGGAAAGACCATTTTGTGTAATTTTTCAGCCGATCCTGATCCTCACTGGCAAGGGTAACTGAAAGTCAATAACATGTACAAATAAGCACTGATAGCCATTTATTCATTTCAGAATACTTATTGCCATTTATTTGGGACACCAGTTTGCCTGTAAACTCACAACTAATAAGGCACACTGTCGCAAAACTGTGGAGGAGAGACACATCTAAGGATCCAGAAAAGGGCAAAGGGCACGCGTCTGCAAGTGTGGAAGACTCCCTTGCTTCTCCTCCCTTCCTCCTCCAGAACACTTAGACTCACTGATTTCAAAGCCCAATCTGCCTCATTCACACACTCATTCTTGTTATCAAGGCTCCTTTTAAAGAAACCATTTTAAGGGCTGGTGCTGTGGCAAAGCGGGTAAAGCTGCCACCTGCAGTGCCGGCATCCCATCTGGGTGCTGATTTGAGTCCCGGCTGCTTCACTTCCAATCCAGCTCTCTGCTATGGCCTGGGAAAGCAGTGGAAGTTGCTTCAAGTCCTTGGGCCCCTGTACCTCCATTGGAGACCTGGAAAACTGGCTCCTAGCTTTAGATCAGCCCAGCTGTGGCCGTTGTGGCCATTTGGAGAGTGAACCAGGGGATGGGAGACTTTCTCTCTCTCTCTCTCTGCCTCTCTGTAATTCCACCTTTCAAATAAATAAATAAATCTTTAAAAAAAAAAAAAAAAGAAACCATTTTAAAAATGAAACCTTTGCTGTGAGAAAGGACTGGCCGGGAGTCCATTCTTCCTGTGGAGCATGAATACTCCCAAGAATTTATGTAGAACAAGAGGCCCAGATAAAAGCCATAGCAGACCCTCTTCCAGGCCAGCTCTCTGCTGTGGCCCAGGAAGGCAGTGGAGGATGGCCCAAGTGCTTGGGCCCTGCACCCCATGGGAGACCAGGAGAAGTACCTGGCTCCTGCCATTGGATCAGCACGGTGCGCCGGCCGCAGCGCGCCGGCCACGGCGGCCATTGGAGGGTGAACCAACGGCAAAGGAAGACCTTTCTCTCTGTCTCTCTCTCTCTCTCTCACTGTCCACTCTGCCTGTCAAAAAAAAAAAAAAAAAAAAAAAAAAAGCCAGAGCAGAATTCTTGGCCAAGCCAAATGAAACACCCAGCAGATGATGCCCAAGAGCAATAGCCCTGTAAGTCACGGGTTTCTCCTGAAGAGGACAGGATCACAGAGCTGGTCCAGGCGGGTGCCAGGGTCCATCTGTCCTTGGAAACAACAACTCAGGTCTGTGCCAATTCAATACTGCAACCATGGCAAGCAATGAAAGCTTCAAGTGATTAAGATACAACACAATGTTATCAGAGCAATTGTCGTCTTGGGTTCAAAGATAAAATAAAATTAGTCCTCATTTATTCTTAGGAAATGACAAACATTCAGAGGGGTACCCTGCCGACAGCCTAGAGTATTGAATCCGTTCTCCTTAGCCGGAGGTAAAGAAGGGAGTCCCGTGCAGAAAGCACGCTCAGACAAGGTACAGGTTCAGGAGAATCAGGGCCCTGCCCCACGCAGGTGGTAAGAATTTCTCCAGAACACACCCATAACATACAGAATTTGCTCCATTCATATTTAATAGCCTGTTGGCATCGTCAGAACATGCAACCATGAGATTTGACATACACAGTAACATCAGTGCAACTGAACACAGGAGTGTCACGGAATCACTGCTCGTGTGCTTCATGTGGAAGTCCTCGGAGGCTCCTCGGCTCATGGGAGAGGTAGATCATCAATGAAAAAGGACAGAAGATACACTCTGCGAGGCCAACAGAAGACGCTGAGTGCTGTCAGGGATGTGGGCTCACGTCATCCACAGGGACTTAACAGAACCTCTGTCACTACAGCCTATCACGTGGCAAAAGGGGCAGGCTGGACAAGGACAGTCAGCAGCTTCTCCCGAGGCTGGCGAGAGGCAGGCAACAAACACTCCTGAGTTCCTGGTTGGAGACAGGATTCCTAGGAGGGCGTCCATGTCACAGCACCCTGCTAACCCAGGGCTGCTCTCAGAACCTGATACAGTCCACCGTCCACAGCACACTCTGTGCTTTCTGTTGAGCCACTGCACACAGATGAACAGCGTCCAGACTATCTTTTGAGGGTAATTTAAACACAATGAGGGGCTTTAGATGACCGCACCCAGCTTACCAACAAGCCTTAGAGTCCAGGTTCCGGGGAGACAGAGTCCTGATCACGTGACTTTTCTACTATTTATGTGATTAGCCTGACTTGTTTCTTTCAGTTGCAGGTGTTTCTGGCTAAACCTTTTGATGAGGGTTCCAGGAACCAAGGCCACCAAGGCAATGGCCAGCAGCTTAAAGGCTGTTTCCCAGGAGAACAGTGCGTCCAGGGAGGTCAGGGTTGACAGGATGGAGCCCGTCTGCACACAGATGAAATTGTAGGGGATCAGGCCTGTGAGAGGAAAAAGGGAAAGAGCCTGTTACGGGGGCAGGGAAACGGGCAAGGTAACATTTCAGAGGTGCACAAGGAATCCAGAGCAGAGACTCCATTCTGCTGGCCTGACTCCTGACCCCTCACCGGACGACTTCTTTCCCTCTGTCCTTTCCCACTCTCCTCCCTCCTTCCCTCACTTCCCAGATACCTGCCTTGTTCAGCTGAAGAACGTGAGATGCTTTATGTCAACAGAATAAGACACAAATGTTAAAATAGGAAGGGTGGGTGTTGTGGCACACTGAGTTAGGCCACTGTTTGGGATGCCCGCATCCCATATCCAGGTGCCGGTTCAAGTCCTGACTCCTCCACTTACGATCCAGCTTCCTGCTAGTGCACCTGGTTAAGAACTTGGGTCCCTGCCACCCACATGGGAGACCTGGACAGAGCTCCTGACTCCTGCCTTTGGCCTGGCTGTGTTGGGTCCTGAACCAGTGGATGGAAGATCTCTTTCTGTCGCTCCCTCTCTGTCATTCTGCCTTTTGAATGGATACATAAATCCTTTTTAAAAAATTTTTTTTAATTGGAAAGATGAGTACAGAAGAGTAAAATAAGTCAGGGCACAGAGTTAGTATAAAAATGTACAGTGCGGGCCGGCACCGTGGCTCAATAGGCTAATCCTCCACCTTGCGGCGCCGGCACACCGGGTTCTAGTCCCGGTTGGGGAGCCGGATTCTGTCCCGGTTGCCCCTCTTCCAGGCCAGCTCTCTGCTATGGCCAGGGAGTGCAGTGGAGGATGGCCCAGGTGCTTGGGCCCTGCACCCCATGGGAGACCAGGAAAAAGCACCTGGATCCTGGCTCCTGCTATCGGATCAGCGCGGTGCGCCGGCTGCAGCGGCGTCCATTGGAGGGTGAACCAACGGCAAAAGGAAGACCTTTCTCTCTCTGTCTCTCTCTCTCACTGTCCACTCTGCCTGTGAACAAAGAATAAAAAAAAAAAAAAAGTACAGTGCTACCCATTAGCTAAAAGTGAGCTCCAAATCTGGTTCTGAACACGCAAGGCCAAAGTACAGGGAAAAGCACCATCGCTGAGATTTACAGTATGCATAAAAATTTAAGTTTCTGAGTTTGTATTCTGCACTGTCTTTAAGAGATCTTAAAATCCACTGGATCCCAGAAATCTGGTATGCAGGTTGGTTGCCTAACAGTCCCGTGTACACCCATTCTCGGGCTCCACTGAGATTCTCGTTAGTTGGGTCGGGGTAGAGCCCAGGAACCTGCATTTCAAAAGCCTCTCCCCACACCTGGCCCGAGACGCTAACTGGCTGAGACCCCTAACGACGCACTCCTCTGCGGCAGAGGAAGACTGCTAGGGATGAGTCACGCCATGCTCAAGGTCACACAGCCTGACGGCTGCCGTCTCCAGAGTCTCCCCAAGCCCCAAGCTTTTAGCTCCTGTTAATTAACGGAGGGGCAGAAGCACTTTGTTGGAAAGCGGACAGGACCAGAAGTGGCTGTGGTAGCTCTCGTTCCGATCTAAATTCTCCATCTCTCAGGCATTCCCTATTAATAGCAGCTACTCAGCTACAGATTTAGGCCTGACCTGGAAGCCCTGAATGTCCTTCCCTCCGTGCTTCAAGAAAGGGTTAGGAGAAGGTGACCCTTGCCGTAAGGCTTAAAGAAGAGGCTGGTATACTGCTAGCACAAAGAGACAGCCCCTGGTGACACAGGATGTCAGCACTGTACCATTCTGACAGAGGCGGTCCCGGCCCACACTCTGAGAAACACTGCTGCAGTCGCAGGCCCTTTGTCTGGCCGGGTGGCCCATTAGGATTGAGTGGCTTTCTGGCGGCCAAACAATTGTCAAAGGCGAGGAGAGACTTCGGAAGTCATCTAATTGGGCGGACTGCAACAGAACCCCTTCTACAGACCAGCGAGCTAACTGCCTGCACCACCTGGAAATCTTTAGAAGATGCTGATCCCCAAGTCCCACCCTAGAAATGATGATTTGTAGCTGACGTGTGGTGTGGCCCTAACGTAGCTGGGGATGGTGCTGTGGCGAAGTAGGTTAATCCTCTGTCTGCAGCGCCGGCATTTCCATATGGGTGCCAGTTCAAGTCCCGGCTGCTCCACTTCTCATCCAGCTACCTGCTAATATACCTGCGAAAGCAGTGGAAGAAGGCCCAAGTGCTTGGACCCCTACACCCAGGTGGGATACCTGGAAGAAGCTCCTGGCTCCTGATTTCAGACTGGCCCAGCTCTGACCATTGTGGCCATTTGGGGAATGAGCTAGTAGATGGAAGACCACCCCCCCCCCCACCTCTGTAGCTCTGCCTTTCAAATAAATAAAAATAAATCTTCGTAAAAAATACCCACGTGATTTTTTTTTTTTTTTTGACAGGCAGAGTGAACAGTGAGAGAGAGAGAGAGAGAAAGGTCTTCCTTTGCCGTTGGTTCACCCTCCAATGGCCGCCGTGGCCGGCACACTGCGGCCAGCGCACCACGGCCAGCGCACCGCGCTGATCCGATGGCAGGAGCCAGGTGCTTTTCCTGGTCTCCCATGGGGTGCAGGGCCCAAGCACTTGGGCCATCCTCCACTGCACTCCCAGGCCACAGCAGAGAGCTGGCCTGGAAGAGGGGCAACCGGGACAGAATCCAGCGCCCCAACCGGGACTAGAACCCGGTGTGCCGGCGCCTCAAGGCGGAGGATTAGCCTGCTGAGCCGCGGGCGCCGGCCTGCCCACGTGATTTTTAACAGCAATGTTTGAGAACCACTGTGTAGGGATTAAAAAGCACATTCTCAAGATCCCACTCCCAAGATTCTGATTTAGTCAGTGTGCAGCAGGCCCCAGAATCTGGGTTCTCCACAAGACCCCTGACCTTACCATGTGGTAAAGGTGGCCCAAGGCCCACATTTTGAGCAACCGCTCTACTCCCAGTCTGTAGCCTGCTGAAGGACATGCCATGGCTAAAGGGCACAAAGGAACTTCACCGGTGTCAGCTTTTCCAAGGCACAGCTTAATCAAAACAGGGGCCATAGCCACACAGGAGGTCCCTGGCTCTGCTCTTTCTTCTGGCCCATCCAAAACTCATGGCTCATAACCTCCCTCCAACCTGCTCTTCCAGCTAGCATTCACTGAGCACTTCCTATGGGCCACGCCGTGAGCTTCCCATAAGTGACCCCAGTGCCTAGTGCAATGCTTGGCACAAAATAGGCGCTAACTACAGCTGCAGAATGAACAGTCTTTGTTTATTCCAAAAGTATCTCCATGTTCGAGCCTGAGTGGATCTGTAATCAGGAAAACTCCTTTAGGTCCTAAGACTGAAAGGCGCTCCTGGTGAGCCTGTATTCTCGGAGGCAGCACGTGCCCTGGTGGCTGATGGGCGGGCAGTCCCCCAGCAGGACAGCTCTGAAGACTCCAGCTCAACGCGCATCAGCAGCTCTTACCGATAAGAACCGAGAGGAAGAACTGCACGATGGGGATGTTCAGAATCGGGGCGGAGAGGTTCAAGAACCAGTTCGGTGTCATGGGGAAGAGTCTCAAAAACAGTAAGAAAAAAAACAAGCTGTTTCTGTTCTCCTCCACCTGCAGGCAAAAAGGACAAGGCCATTAGGAAGCAGAAAGAGTTCCCTGATATAAGAAACCTGCTGGTGCCCAGACCGTGCCAGACACCTTACATGTTCTCTTCCCAGCTCTGCCAACAGCCCTCCATGGTAGGGACTGTCCACCTGAGGACCAGAGAAGTCATGCGCTTGCCCAAAGTCACAGAGCTGGTAACGGTGCAAGTGCGATCTGTGCCTCCTGAGACATCAAAGGACCCCGAGCACCTCCCCTGGCAGGGCAGAGCACTGTGGGAAATCCTGTTCCTCACTCCCCTCGGGGCCATGAGGTGACACCGGGGGCCCCGCCCTCAGATGTGCCCCTGTCCTTACCTTCCTCTGCAGCAGGGCCACTTTATCAGGAAAGTAGGAGACCACCAGCTGTTTGCCAAAAACGCTGGAGAGCAGGTAGCAGCATGTGGCGCCCACCGAGGTCAGCACACAGCACAGCAAAAGCCCCAGCCATGGCCCAAACAAGGCACCAGCTAAAACATTCTGCCAAGAAAACAAACCCCCAGCCATGAGAATACCTGGAGGTACCCATCAGCCACCTCGCCCCAGAGCCTGTAAGTACACTCCCTCCACCCTTCCCTGGTTTTCCCAGCCAAAAAACTCCCATTTTAAGGAGGTGAATGCAAGGTCATGGAGAAAGCTGGAGACTACAACCTTGGCCTCTGTCTCTCCACCTTTAACACAGTGTAAGGACTGAAGCCCCAAGGACAGGCGAGAATGACATGGGATGTGACTCTGCAGCACCCAGCCTGCTACACGAGCTCTGACCATGGGCGCAGTGGGCCTCTAAGAAGGCAGAAAGGAAACTCACAAGCTATTTTTACTATTTCAAATGAAGACTGCAAACCATGACTTTTCCCTGGATGAGACCACACAAGTTACAGAAGACGTCTTGTCACTTTTCTTTTTGTGAACACTGAAGGTCCCATGGGAATCAGAGCTCTAGCTGACACCTAAGAAAGTCCTGGGGCAGGTGTTTGGCCTAGCAGTTAAAAATGCTGCTTAGGGGATGCCTGCATCCCATATCCAATCACTCAGGTTAGAATCCAGGCTCTGCTCTCAGTTCCAGCTGCCTGCCAATGCACACCCTGGGAAGCAGCAGGTGATGGTTCAGGTACCTGGGTCCCTGCCCCCCCAACATGGGAGATCCAGAATGAATTTCCAGGTAATGACTTCAGCCTGTCCCATCCCCAGCTGTTGTAGGTATTTGGGGAGTAAACCAAGAGATGTAAGATTTTGTTTTTCTGCTTTTCAAAACACACACACACACACGAAATTCACAAAGAAAAAGAAATCTTACTTTAATAAAAATGGGTAAGTGAACTATACTCTTTTTTTATTTGAAAGGCAGAGTTACAGAGAAAGAGGGAGAGAAGAGACAGATAGATCTTCCATCCATTGTTCACTCCCCAGAGGGCTACAAGGGCCAGGGATGGACCAGGTTGAAGCCAGGAGCTAGGAGCTTCTTCCAGGTCTCCTACATGGAAGCAGGGACCCAAGCACTTGGGCCAGCTTCTGCTGTTTTCCCAGGTGCATTAGCAGGGAGCTGGATCAGAAGTGGAGCAGCCGGGTTTTGAACCAGCACCCAAATGGGACACCAGCATCACAGACAATGGCTTGACCGCTACGCCACACACCAGCCCCAGCATACCTTCTACATACAGTTTGAGTGGTAGACATCATGCTGCCAAAATACGGTATCCAAAACAGACAGTAAAAGAGGGCTTGGAAGTGAGGTAGGACTCTGCGGGGCACCTACTGTGTGCTAAGTCCTTGACGACACATCGTACGTAACCCGCACTGTAACCCTGCGCCATTGACTATCCTCCCCCCCCCCCCCATTGTACTGATGAGACAGAGGACACACATCATGGCCAAGATCACACCAGGCAGAGGCAGGATTCATCCCTCGGCCTGGGCATGGAGCCCCAACCAAGTAGCGGGTGGCCCTCTCCCTTAAAGAGGAAGACAGACACTGGGACAGCACCACAGAGTCCGCCCCTGACTCAAGAGCCCCACACACCTCTCCTGCCTCTCCTGGACATGTTTGCCTTTTTTTCCAATTTAAAACAAAAAAAATGTTCAAGCAGATCCAGCCCGGGGCTGGAGCAGAGCAAACATGCCAGGGCAGGAGAGGGAAGTGGGACAAAAGGAAGCTTCAGTGTCCCCTGCTCCGTCGGGCAGCCATTCAGGAAGTGCCAGCCCTTCTACCCTGCTGCCTGTCATCCCACCCTGCTGCCGCTGCAGAGAACAGCTGTGTTTCCAGGTCAGGGAGCGGCGCGGAGGAGGGCAGGACACAGACCAGGAAGCTGGAGCCAGGGATGGCAAAGGCCTGTTTGTAGAGGTAGGCGCTGCAGAAGAGCAGGAACACGTAGGCCTGGTGCTCCTTCCGGTACTCCCGAAGGACCTCAGAGAGCTCCCGCAGCTCGGCCAGGTCAGAGGGGAACCACAGCGACCTGGCGTTGGGGAAAGCAGATGAAAACAGGAATCCCGATCAGCTGAGTGCCTGAGAAAGCCGCTTGCTAGGTCTGCTTTCCAAAGTGGGCTTCTAAACGTGCCCGTCACCTGGCCTGCTGGGCACACACACATACAGGGTGAGCCCAGGATGGCAGGTGACCCACATAACACAGTGGGGCAGGCCAAGGGTTTGGAAGCAAGACACTGGGGTTAGCATCCCAACTCTGCTGCTTTCCAGTTGTGTGACCTCGGCCTAGTCCCTGGGCCTCAGTTTAAAAGTAGAGGCTTGGGAGGCCAGCGTTGTGGTGCAGGGGGTTAAGCCACCAACAGCCCATAAGAACATGGCGTCGAGTTTTGCTGCTCCACTTCAGATCCAGGTCCCTGCTAACACACCTAGAAAAGCAGCAGACATGGCCCAAGGGCTTGGGCCCCCGCCACTCATGTGGGGGACCCGGATGAAGCCCCTGGTTCCTGGCTTCAGCCCGGCCCAGCCGTGGCCCGGGTGGCCATTTGGGGAGTGAACTACAGGACTGAAGCTCTGTCTGTAACCGCTTTTCAAATAACATTAAATACATCATTTTAAAATAGTAATAAAGTGAGAAGCTGGTGTTGGGTGATCACTAAGTTCCCTTTTAGCTTTCGGATCTTAGGATCTGTTCTTAAGGGATAAATGGATTCATTTCCAGGCAAGTACTCTCACCTTCAAGGTCACTCCTTCCCCTGCAAGCCAACAGCAAGACCCCAGGTACTGGATAAAGCCGCCCCTGGTCATTCAGGAACCAGCCAGGATCCAGGCAAGGATTTCTATCCCACATGATGAACCTAACTTTTTTTTTTTTTTTGACAAGCAGAGTGGACAGTGAGAGAGAGACAGAGAGAAAGGTCTTCCTTTTTCGTTGGTTCACCCTCCAATGGCCGCCGCGGCCGGCGCACCGCGCTGATCCGATGGCAGGAGCCAGGTGCTTCTCCTGGTCTCCCATGGGGTGCAGGGCCCAAGCACTTGGGCCATCCTCCACTGCACATAACTTCTTAACAACAAATCAGGCTGGAAACCAACGCTTCCGTAGAGCCTGCTTGTTCACTCTGCTCCTATCTGGTGCTCGGTGCTCTCTGAATCCTGTCCAAGGGTTACAGGCTAAAGGCTATCTGCCTCTGCCAGCACACGGTGCGTGAATCCAGCAAGGATCAGCAAACCCTCCCGGTTCCTTGAGAGCCTCTAACACCGACCTCGAGGCCTTGCAAAAGAACACAGCAACTGCAAACAGCCGTCCCCGACAGCCAAACATCGGGAAACGCCGGGTCCACGCACACTTCCAGGCACTGTATAAACAGTGCGCAGCTCTCCCCCAAAACCGGCCAGATAGGATGCACCCTCCTGCGGCCTGCGTCGCTCAGCCAGGAAGAGGGCCAGGGCCGATCACTACTTCTTGAATCACCCACTCTCGTCCCAGAAACATGTCTCCCGAAAACCTAAAGTCAGCCAAGTCCCCAGGGCAGACCTGACGGAAGTGGGGTGGGAGAGCAGGGGGAGACTGAGCGGCCGTGAGGGGCTGGGGGTCCACACGCCGGCGACAGTCTGGGGGCCAGGGAAGGCGACGCCCCGGCGCGAGCGGCAGAAAGCCAGGTCTGCCTCCGCGAACCACCCCAAAGGCACCGCGCAGCCGATGAGACGCGGGTCACCGCCCCGGCCGGGTTCCGGCTTCCATCCGCCAGGCCCCGCTTGCCCAAGAACGTGTAGACGCGGGCCCGGATTGCAGACCCCTGACACCTCCCAGCCGGGAACCCGAATCTCCGACCCCCAGGGATCCGCTGACCGGCACCTCCATCCCCGCCAGCCGCCTCACGCACCTGCCTTCAGCCTCCTCCGCGGAGCCCAGGCTGTGCCCGCGGGGCAGTCGTGTGGACAGCAAGTACAGGGCGAAGGTGCAGCCGGCGAAGACCAGGAGGAGGCTGAGCAGCGGGCGCATGACGGCGCCCCAGACGCTTGCAGATCGGCACAGACACGTAGCGCCAGCCCCGGGACCACGCCGCTCGCGGACCGTGCCAGCGGAGCGCGTTCGCCGACGGACCGGGGGCGGGGCTGCGTCAGGCCCCGCCCCAGACCCCGCCTCCCGCCGGACTCCGCCCGCTGCGCCCGGCGGCGCGAGCTGCGGCTCCCTCAGGCTGCAGTGCGCGTCCACGAACTGGTGGCCCGGCGCTTTCTGTCTGCGTGCGTTCCCACGTGTATCGCTCTCTCCCGTGACAGGGGGCCCGCCACGCCGGGAGGCCCTGGGTGGGTTGAGGGCCCTGCCCACAACGAGCTTGACGTCTCGGGGTCGGGGCCGCCTGGTCCACACCCTGCTGCCGCACGAAGCAGATGTAGCCCGCGTGGTACCAGGGGCTCCGTCCAGTATTAGCGACCACGGAAATAGTCAGAATGGGCTTTTCTTTCCATTGTCCCTAGTCCACACAACCATCCCGCGAGGTAGGCATTTTTGTCTTTAATTAGATTAAAAAAAAAATCTGTGAGGAAGATGAACTGACATCCCCTAGAGAGCCGGGATAGGAATCCGAGTCAACCTGGGTGCAAAGCTTCGTTCTTAGGCAGCCTGGTTCAAGGAGGTGGGGCTTGAGTTTACGTGCAAGAATGGGCAAGCACCCGAGGGAGGAAGGTGAGCTGGGGTCCAGGTGAGGCGCCAGAGTCCAGTTTCAGCGAAGCCGAAAGTGTATGAGGAAGAAGAGAGGGGCTGAGCAGAGAGCACTGCGAAGCTGGCCAGGGAGCTGGACGTTCGAGGCTGTTGTTGCTCGGACACTGACGGAGGAGTCAGGCGATTCAGTTCCCTGCTTTAGGATGTTCCCCGAGTTCATCGCGGTAGCTGTCCTGATGAGAAAGGGGCCAGGACCAGAGCAGTGGGGAGGCAGGGAGGAAGATGGACTGGCTGCGGGGAGAGGAACTGATAGGCCGTGCGGAAGATGGGACAGAGAGAACTCCAAAGCGGAGAGAAAGCGTCTTTGTTGTGAGACTCCAGCACTTCTTGGGCCAGTTAGGGAGGAGCACTGGTCAGCATTCAAGTGTACAAGATTACAGCAATTCCAGATCCAAGGATTTTTTTTTTTTTTTTTTGACAGGCAGAGTGGACAGTGTGAGAGAGAGACAGAGAGAAAGGTCTTCCTTTTTGCCGTTGGTTCACCCTCCAATGGCCGCCGCTGCAGCCGGCGCACCGCGCTGATCCGATGGCAGGAGCCAGGATCCAGGTGCTTTTCCTGGTCTCCCATGGGGTGCAGGGCCCAAGCACCTGGGCCATCCTCCACTGCACTCCCTGGCCATAGCAGAGAGCTGGCCTGGAAGAGGGGCAACCGGGACAGAATCCGGCACCCTGACCGGGACTAGAACCCGGTGTGCCGGCGCCGCAAGGCGGAGGATTAGCCTATTGAGCCACGGCGCCGGCTCCAGATCCAAGGATTTAACTCAGAGTAATGCTGTGAACAACGACCCCTGTTCAAGGGCATGCTAAGCTTTGTTTCGACGCTAAGAGATCAGAGATCGAGAACAACCTAAATGCCCATTAGGCGGGGCCCGGCTAGGTTAATTATGGTATATTCAAATACAGAATTCTAGGGGACCTCCTACAAGAGGGAGGCAATTCCATATATAACACAGCACAATGGCCAGGTCGATGGCTAGAATAAAACCCAAATGAGCAAGTTGCAATGTTAGAGTATATTATAACACATTTTTAAAAAGAAATGAGGATATCTTTTCAGGATACTAGAATATTCCCAAATGAGATTATTCAAAGTCTGATATTTGTGTCAGAGTAAATAATGAGAGAAGATGTAGATAGAACAAGATTGGCTGTGAGTTCATCTTTGTGAATCTGGGTGATGGACACCTAGAGATAGGTTTTATACTATTTCTTTCTATTTCTGTAAATGCTTGAAATTTTCCATTTAAAACATTTGGGAAAAATGGTTACAGCCTCCATTCCAGCTGCATGCACACCATGTTTATCGGTGCAGTTGACAGTACTCTCCCCTCCACCTGGCAGGCTCCTCTGCCTGCTAATTCCTATTTAATCAACACCCAGGACAGTTGTCATGACCCCTGAGAAGACTTCTGTAGCCACCACAGTTAGAAAAGACACCCCTTCTCTGTGCTTCAGACTCCCTGAGAACTTCTGTGCTTCTGTTGCAAATACGTGCTCCAGGGACAACCCCAAACCCTGTGCTTGTCTTATATTTGGCACTTAATAATTCTTAAATTAATGGATCAAGTCTAGCAAATAAAATGACTCATTGTTTGGTTTGGTAGCGTTGACTTTATGAAGCCAAAGGAAGTAGGAGGGGCAGTGAATAAGGAACCACATCACTGAGCCCATTGGTGCTGGTCTAGAGTCCAGAACAAGAAGGCGAGACTCCAACTCTCTTAGACCAACTTCCCTTCCCGTGGGCTGGGGAGAAGAATGGAGAGAGAGACAGTTTCAGAGCATGACAAGTGCCGTAGAGGAAGTGGACATGGTGGAGCTTGTCCCAGTCCAGTGAAGCAAGTATTATCCCATTTACACATGACTGGATGAGCAGGTGTGCAAATGAAGTCACTTTGCAAAGGCCACAACTGAATGCTGAGCAGGACATAGATCCTTATCTGCCATTTAAATGCGTGTTCAGATTTGTAGGTCACCTTCTAAAAGATAGAGTTGAAATTAGGGGAGGGGAGGGTCTCCTGGGGACACCAAGAGGGGGAAGGTAACAGCAGCTGACATCCCTGGAGTTCTTAGTACACTGCAGACCCCATAATGTTTCTTAAAGATTTATTTATTTATTTGAAAGGCAGAGTTACACAGAGAGAGGAGAGGTAGAGAGAGAGAGGAAGAGAGAGGGATAGAGAGAGGTCTTCCATCCACTGGTTCACTCCCCAATTGGCCACAATGGCCGGAGCTGTGCCAATCCAAAGCCAGGAGCCAGGAGCCTCTTCTGGGTCTCCCATGCCAGGTGCAGGGTCCCAAGAACTTGGGCCATCTTCTACTGCTTTCCCAGGCCATAGCTTGGGCCATCTTCTACCACTTTCCCAGGCCATAGCAGAGAGCTGGATCGGAAGTGGAACAGCCAGGTCTCGATCTGGCACCCCTATTGGATGCTGGCGCTTCAGGCCAGGGCATTAACCCACTGTTCCACAGCGCTGGTCCCTGGCTGGAGTTCTTGACTCCTGACTTCAGCCTGGGCCAGCCCTAGCTGTTGAGATCATTTGGGAAGTGAACCAGAAGATGGAAGATCTCTCTCTCTCTTTCCCCTTCTGTGTGTGTGTCACTCTGCCTTCCAAATAAATAAAAAATAAACCTTTTTTGTTTGTTTAAAAAAAAAAAAAAAAGGGAAGGAAGGAACTGGAGGAAATTGTCAGAGAAATCCAGCAGGGAAACCCAGGGTCATGAAATTTGGTCAGCATGCGGTGGTGGGGAGCTCTGGCAGAGCTCTTTGGGGAGGTGCAAACCAAAGTCTCCTTGGCTAACATGGGATTCTCAGGAATGACAATATGGGCCAGGGGTCCAAGGATAGGAGGTTCTAGGTTTGAGATTTGGGAACAGTTCAGTGTGTTGATGTCTGTGTTAATCGGAAGTAATTCCTCAAGTTCCTATGCATGAGTCCTTCCCATTCTGTTTAGCAGAAATTTATTGAGCACCCCCTTTGTGCCTGGCTTTGTGCCAGGTGTTGTGGCAGCAAAGACAAACAGCAGCTGCTCTTGTGGAGCTTACAGCCTTGGAGGAGCTACAGACATGTAAACATTACAATACGGTGCAGTAAAGGCAGTGATGGGAGCACGTGGCGAAGGAGATGTGGAAGGGAGAATTGTGGGAAAGCAGACAAGAGAAGACTTTGAACTACAGCTCAGAGTCATGGAGTCATTTTTTTTTTTTTTTTTAAGATTTATTTACTTGGAAGAGTGAGGCAGAGAGAGAGAGAGAGAGAGAGAGAGAGAGGTCTTCCATCCAATGGTTCACTCCCCAGTTGGCTGCAACGGCTGGAGCTGCACCAATCCGGAGCCAGGAGCCTCTTCTGGGTCTCCCTCATGGGTGCAGGGGCCCAAGGACTTGGGCCATCTTCTACTGCTTTCCCAGGATTGGAAGTGGAGCAGCCAGAACTTGAACTGGCACCCATATGGGATGCCGGCACAGGAGGCGTTGGCTTTACCCACTATGCCACAGTGCCGGCCCCAGTCATGGAGTCATATTAAGGAGGGTCCTGGAGGGTTTAGCAGTGTTGCTAAAATGGGAGGCGGAGGGGAGTAAAATCTAGATTTCAAGACAGGTAGGCTTGCTGAGCAGTGGCTTTGAGACCACCTGAAGGAGGTGATACAGAAGAAAAGTCAGCCTTCTCCCCCAGAGAACCTGGGAAATGGACAGCTGGCCTCCAGAGAAGATAGCGACAGGGAGAAAGTTTAGGAAGTGGCCTGTGGCTAGGGGGAGGCAGAAGTCTTTACTTTACTGAACATGACTCCATGGGACTCAGAAAATGGTCCGGGATTCATTTAAGAAATAGTTCCTGAACACAGACTATGGTGAAGGCTCATGGCTCCTGCCTTGCAGAACAGTGTAGTAGAGAAGACAAACATTAATCAAAATAATCTCACAGGTATATGTATACTTTTTAAAGTGCTGTGAAGAAGAGGCACAGTATACTGTAAGTAGGAGTGCGGTCCAAGACTGGAAATGCGGCAAGAGATGAAGAGGAGATCACCAGTGACAAGGGGAGGGAAGAGGGTCGACTAGGATTGTGTCCTGGATTTAGGATCCACACAGCAGACACACTGACAAAGAGAACGGAGGAGAGGCAAGGACAACGAGAGACAGTCAGAGATTCCAGGGGCTTCAGGAGAAAGATTTCGAGAAGCAAGTGGTGAGCCTGTGACCGCTGCATTTCTCCTGACCGTTGCTATGAGAATTCATGGATGTTCATCTCCACTCCAGTAATTAAACTTGCCTCTTTTTCTTCTTTCATCCTGTCGGCACACTTGCTATTGTCTGAACAGGATTTGGTTCCCCAAACCCGTGCAGATATTTAAACTCCCAAACGTTATGTTAATAGTTAATGGATGAAAGGTAGGA